CCCTCCCCGCCCCCCGCGAGCCCCGGCCGGCCGTGAGCTGATGTCCTGAGCTCGCCGCCCGCGGGCTGTGCGCCCGGCCAGGGGCTGCCTGGGAAGTTGGGGCGAGGCGCGCCGGCTATGCGCCATCACCATGTCCCGCCTGGACTCGTGGCTCGGTGAGGTCCAGTGGCTGGGCTTGGTGGCGCTCTTCGTCGTGGCTTTGGGCACTGTGGGCCTGTACCTGGCGCAGTGGGCGCTGGCCAGGGCGCGACCCCGCTCCCCGAGGCGGGCGGCGGAGCCCGGCGAGGGCCAGCGCCCCGAGCCGGATGCGCTGCTCGCCTGGATCGTGACGCTGAGCATCTGGAGGAAGCAGTGGCAGGCCGCCTGGGTGGCCGCCCTGAACGATGAGGCCAAACGGAGAGCGGTGAGTTTCCGTGAGGGCCGGTCGTGCTGCGGGGCCGGGCGCGGTGATCTCGGGGTGCGGGTTCAGAGCAGAGCTCTTCTTTCCTGGAGCCTCGCCACAGCCCTTGACTGATTCAAGGGGCAGAGCATCCTTGAAAGTTAGGAGAAAGACCCTGAAGACCGGAGGACGCTTGATGGGGAATCAAGACGAAATGATTCGATTTTATTAACCAGACATGAGGTGTGCTAGGCCCTAGGCTCCACTGGAGGGACAGACTGGCTGTTGGAGAGACTTTTCGGGGTGCCCCTTCCCCTTCAGGCTCATACTCGCCCTTCCTGGCGTCCCACGTGGATTCCCATATTCAGGTGGACACTGAATTTTGCACCTGAATAACTGTGAACCAAATTTGCTTCCACTTACAGAGCAGAATTTCACCCAGCATGTTATTTCCAAAAGGTTTGCGTTCCTTGGCATTTAAAATTAGTGACCGTTGAGGGCTAGCCACTCGCCAGACATGTACTGGGGGCTTCAGGTACGTCTGTCATCTCTGAATCCTCACAACTCCTGCGACAGAGGCGTTGTCTACATTTTGCAGGTGGGGAAACTGAGGCCTGGAAAAGTTAAGTAATCCGCCCAAGGTCACACAGCCTGTGGGTGGCAGAGCTGGGATTTGAACCCACCTATCTCCTACCTCCAAGCTCAGGGGCTTATGACTGAGCTCTGCTGCCTCATATGCTCCTGTGGTTATGTTCCTTGTCTGGTTAATGACTGGGTGACTTATTTTTGCTTCTAAGACATCTTGGTTTAATGACAAGCTCCTGGCGTCTGCCATTTCTAGGTGTTCCATAGGAGGAATGGGGGGCTGGGGGATTTGGGGTACCTCCCAGTCTTCACCTGTCCTGATGGCTCCCAGGTGTACCACATTCTGCCACCTGCTTGGGAACTCAGTGGAGAAGCCTGTGGCGCTTTGCTTTGGAAATAGTGAATGCTGTGTGTCTGGACCATCAACCTTCAAAATATTCCATGGTGGGCCCTCTGTCTGCTCTTTGCACATGGCCTTGACTGACTCACATAGCCACGGATTTAAAAAACAAAATAGCTTTGAGTGTGAATGAGCATAAATCCAACAAAAGACCGTGTTCTGAACGCTGGGGGGGAAAAAAAATAACCGTAACCTTTGGATGAAAAAAGGCTTCAAGGTCATTTGACTGCCATCTGCCTCGGTGTCCGTGCCGCGGCCGCCAGAACCAGACAGCTCTTCAGGGGGGCCACCCCACCTCTTGTGGGAGCCCCTAAAGCCATGTGACCTCACCTGTGTGAGCAAACACAGATTTGTTTCCCCACGAAGCTGCTGTCATTGACCCCTGGTTGACCTGGTGTCCAGGGCCTGGGTTCCGGGGCTGAGTACACTGCAGGCTGGAGTTGTGAGCGGGTGAAAGTCTTGTCCCAGCTGGATGAGACAGGGGGTGTGACGTGGGCCACTGATTCTGCTTCTCAGCCTTTCGTGAGCTGTAACATGCGTGTTGGTGTTGGGTGAATGATCTGTAGGGTCCTGGTCATCCCCCTGGGACTCCTGAGAGGGTCAGGCAGAGGCACGAGCCTCCCTCCTGTAAGTCTGGGACAGTCCTGCTTAAACCATTCTGCCGTGTTCCCTGACATTTCCTGATTGGCTTAGAAACTATGATTGCCTTCGATATAATGCTTCCAGATTACCCTCGTGCCTGGAGCCCTCAGAGAGAAAGGAGGATATCCCTGCTCTGGAATTTGTCTGCAGCCGGTCGGGTAAGGCTGAGAACTGAAGCAAATACCTGAAGGTTTCGGAGGCAAACCTTTCTCCCTACTCACTTGAATCTCTGTGTGGGAGGAGAGAGGGCCCTTGGCTCAGGGGGCGGGGGAGAGATCTGGCTCCTTTGCACCTTCTCCGTTCTCTGCTATTCCCCATGCACTGCAGAGTCTTAGACACCAGTTTTTCCAGAACTCCTGCCTGGGAGGGGCAATAATGTACTGGGTTTAAGCTCAAGGCAGCTCTGAGTCTTTTCTGACAGTAGATTGGGTCTGACTGTGGTGTCAGGTGCGTGTGTGTGTGTGTATGTGTGTGTGTGTGTTATGGGGGGAGGGAATTGGTGGCATCACTTTGCTCTCCCTGGTGCCTGGAAATGTTGCTCGATTTGAATTCAGATGGAACGTTCTGCAGGCTGATAGGATCTGGGTAACTCCTGCCCTGGCCTTGGCATACCTGTCCCCTGTCCTGGGCCATCCCGACTGCGACACTCATGACAGCGTGGGTGAGCAGGCCCTGGTGTTTCGTTAGCGGCTGTCCTGACCTGGCAGCCAGCCCTGCGGAGTCTCCCTCTGCCCTGCCTCCAACACGATTTCCACTAATCCCCGATTAGGGTTGACAGCCCAAGCCCGCACTCAGCCCAGCGAGCCACAGCTTAGCGTCCCCCTTCTGCCCCCACCCTGTCCCGTCATCTGTCCGCCCTGGCCCAGGAGGAGACCACTTCTCTGCCTATCGCTGGGGGATTGGCGGTAACTCGGGCATCTCCAGCGTCTTCCGTCTTCCGTGCGAGGTGGGATTCTCTCCTGAATGGAGTGACTCCTCCCGTTCTGTTTTACCCCAGCTTGTGTTTTAGGACTGCAAGGAACCCTAAACCCTTCTCGCAGCACCTCTTGCTTCTCTGAAAGGCGAGACGGAGGCCCATGGGCTAGAGAGACTTGCCAGGGTTGACCTAGACCCTGGGCTGGGGTGTCTTCCTGGTCCATCCACATCTGCAGTCACGGTCCCCTGTGGGCAGCAAACTTGACTTTGAGACCCAAATGTTTCCTTTAGTCGCGGTCCAGCAAGAAAGGATAAAAGGGTGCAATTGTTTAATGCATCATCCCTAACAAAGGGGCTCCTATCTCCTAGGAGCTGAGGGTGGGTCAGTAGCTTGTGGAATCTCCTTTAGCCCCGGATGACCAGTGACTGTGGCACTGCAGGTTCCCTGTGTCAGAGGGCCCCTGGGATTGCAACCCTTACTCTGAATAATTAGGATGGTGAATTGGAGAGACAGGTGAGAAAACCGTGGCTGCTCTGCCCGCTGGTCGGGCTGATGCCAGGTGTTTGGGGAACACTGGCGAATTGCCTAGAGAGCTTTGAAAAAATACACGTGCCTGCTCCCTCCCCCACTTCAGACTTAGGAAGTTGTTGGGGGCACAGGGAGCTTACTATATTTTTCACAAGTTCCCCGAGCTAGCCCCTCACTGGTGAGAAGCTGCTGGATACACACAGTGTCCGTAAGCCAGCCACACCAGTCAGTCAGTCAGGTCCCCCTCACCCCACAACGTCTCTCCACTCTGGCATCGCAAACACCTAATTCCAGCTGATCTGATGGCAGTTCGGTCCCAGAGAACAGAAAGTTCCCAGAACTGGCTCAGTCACCAGACTGGGAGCTAATGCTGTATTATTTAAAGGCAACAGCTGAGGTTTTCCCTTTGGTTCCCCTGCATTTACATGAACATTTACAAAGTGGTTTGGGGTGACAGTCACCCCAGCAATAGTCCACACCTGGTGGCTCCAGGGTTGCCGTTTCCACAGCAGGTCACCAGCTATGGAAGCCAGTGTGCCCATGGTCCCGTGCCCCCTCCCGGTGGGCTGGACAGCGCCTTCCTCCCAAGGCTGATGCTCTTGGGACCACGTGCGGGGAGCAGCATTCTGAGAGTGAGGGCCACTGGACTTGTCCAGCAGGCCCAGGCCCCGGGTTGGGAGGGTTAACAGAGCTGTTTGTCTCTTTAGTCTTTTGCCCCAGGATTTTTTTCAGAGGAATGTTCTAAATGCAAATGACCGAGACTGTAGGACAATTTGTGGTCTTTGTGGGGGGGGGGAAAAAAAAAAAAGATGTCCTGTGAACTTAGAACATGTTATTAATAGCTCTGACTCATATAGGAGGTGTGGCAACTTGAAAAGTAAACAAAGTGACAAGACTTGGGAGTTTCCTTATTCTATAATGAGCTTCCTTCCAGCGCTGCTCCCAAAAATTCAAGCTCCTTGACCACCCATGGTGACCACAGTATAAGTCAGCTGGTAAGAATGGGAAGGCACTCTCTACCTGACCCCCACGCCGGTCTCCTTTCCGTGGCTCAAACATTCAGTGTTCTTTCCTGTGTGGGATCTTCCCGCAAGGCATTTCTTGCGTCTCCAACATTATTTAACCTTTCTCCTTATTTAACTCCTGTCAGTATTTCAGGTCTCAGCACAGGGGTCCTTGACCTTTTCAGTTTTGGGAGGATGCTGCCCCACCCTCTCCCCAGCAGGACACTGTGGTCACTGGTGCCCTCATCAGCTCCCGGCATTGTGAGGGAGGCCAGAGCCCTGTCCGTCCAGGCACAGCGCACCCGGTGCCCAGCACACGGCCGGCTTGGGCCAGGTGGCGATTGGAGCATGAATCACAGGCCCTGTTAGAAACTTGTCGCTGGAGGGGGACAAACGGTGGAGATGCGCATCACCCCGTCTGGACACAGGCCTCCCCTGCTTGGGACCTGGCCAAGCCTGGGCCAAACAAGCTGTTTAATGTGCTTTGTTTTTCACTTCTAAAGAATCGACATTGAAGGAGGCTCACTGATGACTTTGCAAACTGTCAATAGAAACGAGGAGTAGATGCCAGTTCAGCTTGCTCTTTGCATTCACCCATTTTCTCAGCAAGACGGGAATTCAGGGGAAGGAAGAGTGGGTGTAGTGTTAGTGTCAACTAAGATGCAGCCAAAGCTAGCATCCACTCCTGTCAGCCCCTCGTGGGTTGCTGAGGAGGGAAGGGACCTCTTGAGCCACTCGGAAGAACTGTGTGGCCACTGCTTAGGCTGGAAGGCAGCTCTGGGGCTGTGTGACCTTGGGCAAGCCCTGACCTCTCTGTGCTTCATCTGTGGAAGAGGATAAGTTTGGGTTCAGTCTGGAAAACAGCATCCACTCCGGATGCGATGAGATCTGTGCGAGGCCTTTAGTCAACAGAGTCAATAGAGATGGGCTGCTTTCTTGTAACATCTTC